CCACCGCACGGCCTGCCCGCCCAGCCGCCCACAAGACTCTCATCGACGTCCCAGCCTAGTTAAACCTCATCATTGCACATTCCCAGTTTTCTATAAATAAACCTCATCGTTCAAATTCCTTTTCTCCTGAGTGTCTTTCTGCATGTGGGTCAGAAACATTAACAAAGCCATGACCCTCTCCTTTCCTGAAAGCACCAACACACCAATCCTTCAGGACTTATCGTGGGTGCCACTTGCATATTTGTACGTCATTTTCCTTCCTAAGCGAAAAACAAAAATAATTCTGGAGCTCCACCTAAACAGGAATGCTGGAGTGGCAGAGGTCATGTTCAAAAGCTGCGAGCATCTGCAGAGTCTTATGTTTCCCACCTTGGCTGGATAATTCTCAGCATGATGAACTTTATTTGAGGACAAGATTACTCCTTAACTAACCTCTAATATAATAATGAGAACGTCTCTGCTCAGATCCTCCACAGATCCACACGGATTCATTAATTCAACCCTTATCTTCTGTCACAAGGTCGAAAATCATCAAAAAAAAGAAAAAAACGCTTCACTTCTGCCTCCAATCAAACCCCCTCTTCCATATCTCTGCCCTCTCCTCTTTCTCTCTCTATTAGGCTCTTATCTTAAATGTTATAAAAATCCTTTGTACTTCATACTCAACTGTTTCCGCCTTTTAATTTCCCGTCATTCTTTGCCTTTTCTTGCACGAAATACGAAGAGAGCCTCGGAGGGAGTAAATCTTTTCTCCTTATCTGGCCTGCTAATTTTCCTTCTCTAATATTCATGGTGTTTCTGGGCTCTCTGATATATTTTGTTACAGTCACCTCTGAGCCCTGCACTAATTCGATGTTAAGAAATTAAGATTCTTCCACAATTAAACTCATGTTAAGTCACATTGGGTCTAATTAGAAGCTCTGCAGGAACATCTGACTTCTTTGAAATACAGTAATAACATTTTATTTATGGATTAATGCTTGAAAAGATAAATAATGCTCGAGAGCATGAACACAGTTATGTTATTTTTAGTCTTAAAGGTTCCAATTATTTCCAAATGTGGGCTATTGACACAGAGGAAAGGATCTTTTATTGACAGTAAAGTCTCCTCTTACTGTCAGAATAATGTCACAGTTAAATAGTGTAACAAATAGTCAGTAAACCAACAGATAACTAAAACAAAATTAAATAAAAAAAGATTGTTAAAGTTGAAAAAGTTCCATAATTAGAATGAGACACAGAGCGTTGGAGCGTTCTGTCATCATCAGCAGATGAAGTCCGTCCAGGTGTCTTTGTCTGCGTTGAAAGTCCAGTAATGACCTTTCAAACCGATAAAAACAAGCTTGCCACGATTTCCTTTTATCAGCTGTTCTGGAGCTTTTGATAATGATCTTTATTGACAAGCAGAGCTCCTAAAAGACTTTTAAATCCCTGCAAAAAGCAAAAACGGCTGGAAAGATGTTGTCTGCAGATGGAAGTCATGGCACATAATCAAAACATCCACAGCAACCACTGAAAGGACCAAATGAAAACAATCAATCCCAACACTTCACTGAATAAATATCTACAAAATAATACAAGTCAAGTTATTTACTTGTTTATCCAACAGCATGAAAGCTGTAGGTTTTTATTATTATTATGTTATTTTATTTGACCTTATTTTCAATTCCTGCCTCTTCATACTTTTATAATAGATTTAGATGCTAGTTAAATTTATGAGCACTAGAATTAAAATACGTATGAAACAGCTCATTTACATTAAAGTAGTTTGTTCAGATTGCTGAAATTACTCAATATATAGAATTTTTGAACAGAAGTTTTATTGTTTGTATTCAACCTTACTTATCGTATATTTTATCCTTTTGTTCTTATTAACTTGTTTGGCTATCAATGTTTGTGTTACTTACATTTTACAAATTATTTTGGTCCTTTATCTATCTTAATGGCACTAGTCACCAAATTAAGCACCAGCCCTTTTAGAGTACTTTGAATTAGTTTCCACGTGTATAAAAGGTGGGATATAAATGAAGTTGCACTCATTGTGAACGGCCGGACCCCCAGGATGGTACCACCAGCTGAACTCAACTACAGAAGTCTTTACACAGTAGTTAAACATCACAGAACACGTTTTTACTTTACAGGCTTTAAGTACATGTAGAGTGCAGGGCTTTAAGCTGTAGTGATGCATTTTTACATTGCTGAAGGGTTATTTAAGTAAAGGTTCTGTGAACTTGTTCCACCACTGTCCAAAGCTTGTCTCTTTGCTGTAATACTGATGTGATTATAAAGAGCTCTGTCTCTATCTAGTGGCTCTGAGTGTGAACTACATCCTGAACACAACAAAACGACGGTTGGCAGATGAAGGGTTTCATATTTCTAGTTTCTACTATTTTGATCAACAACAGTGTCAGTATTTATTGTGTCTTTGTGAGGACCAACCGTTTGACCTGACAAATGAAAACATAAGGTGTGATCTTATGGTTAGAGGTTTTAGTTGTGAGGTCCCTCTAGTGTCTCTGTTATGACAGGAGCACCAAAGTTCATGTAAACAGGAGGTTGGGTAGAATGGATGGGCCAGTAAAACAGTGAACCACAAACTGGAGGCATAAGGCAGCAAACAAGGAGAGGACTGAGGGACACTTCATGTCAAGGGATCTGGCACAAGTGTGGAACGGCATCCAGCAGATAGCCGATATCAGGAGCAGCAGAGACCCACTGACAAGAAACACCACATCACTGGCTGAGGAGACTGAACCACTTTGCTCAGTTCAAGAAAATACCAGATAACTTGGGTTCACCCCAGCTGGACACTGCTGACCACCATCTACCCTGCAGAGGCAGAACGGAAAGCGACTCCTAAAGTGTGTGAATGACAAGAAAGCAGCAGGTCTGGATTTGATCCCATGTGGGGTTCTCAAAGACTGTACTCACCAGCTCGCACAGGTTTTTATCAACCACTTCAGTCTCGCCCTGGTGCATGCTACTGCAGACCAACATCAGCTCCTTGAACGACAACAGACCAGTCACACTGACACCCATCATTTCAGAGTGCTTTGAAAGACTAGTTTTGGGGTACATTAAATCCACCCTCGCCCTTGCTTTAGACCAGCACCAGTATGTATACAGGGCAGATCCACCAAGGACGCCATGGCACCGCCCTCCATGCTGCCCTGACTCACCTGGAGCAGATGGGGACATATGTGAGGATGCTGTTTGTGGATTACAGCTCTTCCTTTAACACTATTGTTCTCAGCAGGCTGGTCAGAAAACTTCAGGACCTTGGTCTCAGGAGCCAACTGTGTCTGTGGATAAAGGACTTCCTCAACAGTCACCCGCAAACAGTGAGACTCGGCCCTTGCATCCTCTGATCCTGCCCTCTGTTCCCTCTAGGAGTGCACACCTACTCACCCCACAAATACAATAATAACATTTGCAGACGACATAACAGTGGTGTGACTTATTGAGGCAGAGATGAGGTCTGCAAACTAACAGGATGGTGTGCAGCGACCAACCTGTGACTAAACATCACAAAGACAGGAGCTCCCCACCGGCTTCAGACGACAACAAGAGGAGCACCTGCCACTCAAAGTAGGACAGGAGGAGGTGGAGAGGGTCTCCAGCGTTAAATTCCTGGGAACCTACAACTGTAAGGACCTCAAGTGGACTTTAAAGTCTACTGCTCTGATGAGAAAGACCCAGCAGAGACTGTACTTCCTTTGGACGCTAAGTAGGATCAACCTTCCTGCAAAACGATTGGAGTCTTTGTCCCACTGCTCAGTGCAGAGCATCCTGACAGACTGCTTGGTGGCCTGGAACTGTTCAGCAGTGGCTCTCTAGAGACTGGTTAAAACAGCACACACACAAAAAAAATCACTGGACTCCACCTGAGTCCCCCTGGAAGACATGTACAGGTTTCGATGTCACAACAGAGCCTGCAGCATTGTTAAAAACAGAACTCCCTCCTCTCACCATCTGTTAACACTACTGCCCTCTGGAAGACGCTGCAGGGCCTCGAAATGCTGCATCACCAGACTGAGGAACAGTTTTTACCTCACAGCCGTACATAAACTGAACAACTGTGAGGCCTAAAGGAGCGACCTCTGGCTCTACGGATCAGAGACAAGAATCGAAAAATACCAAAAATGATGTAAGATTGATCAGAACTCTAAAACAGAGTAAAGAGCAGCCTAATAACAATCAGTGACACTGATGTTACTGAACCCTCTCACGCAGCTCTACAACTTTTGAGGCTACGAAACTGAAGCACAACACGACTGCATCCATTTTAGTCTACTTAAGGCAGTCCTCTTGACTGAATGTGCTCTGCTACCTTTGAAAAACCACAGTGTCATACATCCCTAGTTTTTTCCCACATTTACTGTCCACGTCACCACAAACGCATCCCCGACTTCACTCTGTATTTTGCTTGTAATTAAGACGTCCTTGTTCTTAATTTGTCTGACATACTCGTGTGTATGTCACTCTGTGGAGCTGTATGTTAGTTCAAATGTGTCATAGACAAGAAATACAGACACAGAAGATACAAGACTGTTGATAAAATTAGTTATAGAAAGTAAAAATGTAAAGTAAAAACAGTAGAAATGTAAGTTTGTCAAAAAATTGCTTTATTGAAGCCGACTTAATGCGACCTGATTTTTGTTTTTTACTGGCACTGATATCAACCCATTCCTGGTACTTCTGTTCACTGAATGTTCCAATCAGTACGGCTTTCTACTCCCTCTAATCTCCATTCTGACATTTAAACTGTAAAATACAGCTGGCTTATTTGTCCGTCCTCATCTGGAGACATTGAATCGCTCAGCTGCACCAGCTGGGACAAACTAAAGATTTGAACCTTTGCAAAAAGAAGTTGCAAAAGCCTGGTATGATTTCTGTTACGCACACTCACTATCCCCAGATAACACAACACACACACACACACACACCTTCTGCACATCCTACAGCTTAGCTAGCGTTCTTGCCGTTCCTCTTCTTCTTTTTCTTTGGCGCCTGCTTCTTGGAAGAGTCGACTTCTGACGAGGCAGCAGCTTTCGGTGTGTTTGCAGGAGGTGGAGCTGACTCTGAGGTTTTTGGTGCTTCTTCTGGTTTAGCTGGCTGCTGCTGGGCCTTCTTCTCTTCCACTGGGACCACTGGTGTGACCTCCCCAGTCTCCTCCGTGACCTCAGCCTTTGTTGTTTCTGGTTCCGTTGGTGGATTGGTTTTCTCAGGCTCTGGTGCTTGTACTGGTGCAACAGGTTGCTGCTGTTGGATCTCCTCATTGAGTTGTTGCACCTCTGCAACTTCGACTTGTGTTTGAACCTTTAGGTTTGGGTCTGTTGGCATTGTGTCCGGGGTCGTCTGCTCAGGTGTAGGAGCTTCTGGTGTAGGCATGACTGGATTTTGAACCTCCTCAACTTTGACTGGCGCTGCAAGCTCAGATTCTGCTGCCTCTGATTTGACATTTTCTGCCTGCTCGGGGACTGGAACCAGATCTTCTTTGACCTGAGTCTTGGTTCTAAACTGACCAAACGCAGAAGACACCAGATCTTCTTCAGTATCTAAATCCTCGTTCTCCTCTTTTTCATCGTCAGAAGGTGTGGCCAACAGCGAGGTGGCAAACTCCTGCAGCTTGGCCTGCTCCTCCCTCAGGCGGCTCATATCCTCTGTCAGGACCGGATCGTCCTTCTGGATCTCCTGGATCTCCTCAGTAGTCAGGAGGTCAGATTTGCTGGCATCTTCAGTTTTGGGGACGTCATCAACGTTTAAGGAGTCTAAGTACTTCGCTGGGATGTTGGCATTAGTGCGACGAACCTCCTTGATCTTGTCATAGAGGATTTTCCTCTCGTTCTGCAGGGCGTGACACAGCTTCTCCAGCTTCTGAATCTTCAGGACGAACAGGTCGTACTCTCGGCTTTTCTCAGCTCTCTGGAAGAGGCGGAGAAGAGATGGAGAAGACGAGAAGCAAAGGAAGTGAGACATGAAACAAGAAGAGATGACGCCGACAGAGGGTCATTTATAAATCACTACAGATATGTGGTTTAGTGATGCTGTTTTGTCATTCTTTAAATGATGTATCCACTCAGTTAGGAGGAGCCCAAACCCAACCTGGGACCCAAGGTGGACAACATTCAAATTATACTCAGTCTAACTGTGTCAACGTGTCTTCAGTAAGTTTCAGGTGTGTGCTCCTTTGTATTGTCTTTGCCTTTGGATGCCACTTTCTGCTACAAATCCAACAATTCACCTCCTCTAAGGTATTGAACTCTCCTTTTCCAATTGATTTAAAATGTGCCGACAGTGGTGCTGTGGTGTTTGGCTTTGCAACAGAATTTTCCAGATCAGGTCCATCAGATTGGACTCATAAAGACATCGGCTATAAATCTCTGGAAAGCAAAACTATAGAGAACTCATAGACACAATTATTAGTAAGCACCAATGTTTATGTCCTGAAGTGACGTTACCATCTCAATCCAAGGAGGAAGCTGAAGGCTAATTCATTGCTTTTGTGTTAATCAGTTAAAAAATGAGGTCAGAAAAAGCAGTCTGACACAGCTGCTAACCAAACAACCACACCGAGGCTTATTGGAGGCCGAGGTGTCAGTCCAGGCAGAAACAAATCATCTCACCTCTTCAATCATATCAGTCAGGGCCTTGTTGCAGTTCTCAAATCTCGTCTTCCACAGATTTGATTCTTTCTCCATCTTCTTCATCTTGTCTGACATCTGCAAAACAAAATAGTTTGAAATGGCAGAGTTTCACTGACAGCATCTGAAATCTCTACGACATTAACAAAGTCAGACAAACACGTCACAGCGAGAACACAGACGAGTGAAATGCATCTAAAGATTATGGAACCCCAAATAAATACAAGATGATTCTAAAACACTAACTCAATAAACAATAATGAGCCAGACCTAGCATCTAAAAACCTCCTTCACACCAACAGGTCTTCACACAACGGTCACCACCTACATTATCCATCTCCTTCTTGAAGCGGACGTAGATTTCGTTGCTCTTGGCCAGTGTTGCCTGAAACTCGTCAAACTTCTGAGCGTAGAGGGCCAGCTGTGGACGGAGGAGAAGACGAGGAAGTCAGACAGACCTCAGCATAAAACTCTAAAAGTTTATCGACAGACGTCCATCTCTAATGAAAGTTTTTCATTTGCTGCTGCTGCCCCCATCGCACAACACATTAAGAACCTCCAAACAACTATTACATGAATGGAGATCTGTTTTAAAATGATGTTTTTGTTTTATTTTTATTTTTTTACTTTTTCCAGACAGTTTAGAAGAATGTAAATCACACCACTTCACTTAAATCTTTGTGGAGACCCAGTTCAAGGTGAGATTGATTATTTTCTTGATTAATTGATTAGTTGTTTGGTTTATTAAACGTCAGAGTGGTGGAAAACGTTGAACGTGTTCCCCAAAGCTCAAGATGACCTCCTCAAATGTCTTGTTTTGTCCAGACCCTAAAAATATTTAATTTATTCTCATTTATGAGGAAGGAAATCCAAACATATTCCTATTTAAGAAGCTGGAATCAGTGAGCGTAGACCAGTGTTTCCTAAAAAAAGTGCTGAAACCACCCAAAGATGATCAGAACAGTTGGTGGTGAATTTATTAATTGAAAAGTATCTAATTGTCGTTGCTTCATAAGATGCTACTTTTGTGCAAGTAAAAGACGCAATATTCTGCTGCTACGTTCTTGTATTGTAGTTTCAATAAAGGATTGAGTGACAGGTTTAAAGCAACAAATGCTCTCATCCTAAATAACAGAATTATCCTGAACACAGCAGATCAAGTTCTTACCACAATGTTTTAGTCCTCAGACTCCACCAGGATAAACTCAGGATGTACTTTTTGTACAATACTTTTTGACATCTTATATCGAAAAAATAAGATAAGACGGTGTACATAGACATGTAACGTCTGTGGAAAAGAGCATTTCTACCTATTTCTAACTCATTCCAACAAAAACGTTACAAAAACAATAAAAAAAAAACACTCCAGCTAGCTGATCTAGCTAATCTAGCTCATCGATTTGGCTCCTTTTTGCCTGTTTTATGAAGATAAAATAAACTAGCACCTTAACCAAGTTGTGTCACCGCATAAATGAGACAGTAGTTGAATCATAGTGGAGAAAAAAAACAAACTAAAAACTTGTTCATGAAGTTAAGGAGCCAAATGCTAACTAGGTTAGCATAGTTGAGCAGCACGTAATGATTAGAAAATCACATACGAGGTTTGTTTTTACTCCTGACTGTTTGGAGTCGACTACAGACATAAAATAAATACATGAAATATTTCAAACTGTGTTTCTAAAACTGGGTCTCGTGGACAGTCACAGTTCCATCTCTGGGCCCTGCTCCTGCTGCCAGAGGCCTGCCAGCCGTCCTGGAGGTCAGCATGTTAGTTTGGTCAGTGAATATTCACCTGTGCCTGCATGACAGTCTCCTGCTCTCTGAGTGTCTGAGCCTGCAGTTTCCACTCAGCAGCCTGAACCAGTAACTGGTTAGAAGAGAACAGACAGAGACACATTACAGACGTTTCTTTACCTTCTTCTTCATGGTCAGCTCCTGCTCCTTCATAGCGAAGCATTTCTTTGTTTTGTCAATAGCCTCCCTAAGCAACTACGGTGACAGAGACAATACACAGTCAATCTGCATGGCCTTCATACAGAAATAATGTGGATAACGAGTGTGTTATTGGCTATAGAGGGACAATCACATGAAATACACATGCAAATGTGTCAGACACACTATCATAATGCACCTCATTAATGTCACTGTAAGATTAAATATTACGCAAGTAAATTAAAATTAGGTTTCATTTAGTGGCAGTAGAAGAAGAAAACATCAATCAGGATCAATATCATCAATCCATAAACAGTGACATTAAGCAGAATATGTGGAATCAAGCGAATAATTAATAAGCTCAGTTATAATAACTGTGTTTACTTATTATTAAACCTTTCTGTGGTAACGTCAGATGATGCTGTAAAGCCGCACAGACAATGAAAATCAGCTGCTTCAAAGGGATCATCTGTCTTCATATTGTTTTCTTAAGTAGTTTGGGTCCTTTTTAAATTTATTTTGTGACACCTACATGCCCACCCCTCCATTTTCTGTCCCAATTCTTCATTTTGTGGTTGTTTATTCTCAGAAATAATATATACATGATCGTTTCTTCTTGTCATTTCCTTTCGGAAGGTTTGGATTATTTAGGACACCTGAGCATCTCACTGCCGTGTAAAGACTTTTGTCAATCAGTCTGAATTTTGGTCAACATGTGGACAAAAAGTGTGCGAACCAGCAGCTGTAAAATGTAAAATGTTTGTGAGTCATAATTTAGTAATCACTGTTTAAAAAGTGTGCTTTTTTATTTTTGTTTTAGTGGTATTAACTGTCCTAGATGTGGAGATGAATGTGTCCATTAAAGCATGTATTTATGTATTTAATAGTAAAAGTGTCTTCTTCCATTTAAACCATTACCACCTGTCCTGTGGTGTTTATATGAGACGATAATAGACATGAAATGGATGTTTAAAAAAAAAAAAGATTAAAAAAAAAGCCCAAAACAGTGACTACAGAAAGGTATTAAATAATAAGTGATGCATTAAGTCAAATAAAACTGATCCAAGAATTACTTTAATAGAAAAAAACAGCCACATAAATAAGCCACAAGCAGATATAATTAGCCATTAACTTACAACTAATGTTAATAAAATGTTACACTTCTATTGTTGGTTTTGACAGGTAGTGTCAGACTCGGTGTCTGATAGTGTTTAGTGGTCGTCTGTGCTTGTATTTACTCACGTATTCCTTCTCTCTCTTGTGTTTGTCCTCAGCTTCAGCCAGCAGAGCGTTGGCCTGCTGCAGTTTGGCTTCAGTCAGCTGGTGCTGCAGGTCGCGGTGTTTGCCGATCTTCTCCAAATTCTGCAAGAAGAGAAGAACCGTCTTTAACAGAAAGAAGTTAGAACACTTAATGGCTTTATTATTAAACCTGCTGATAATTTTCCACCGTGTTTAGAAGGCTGTAGAATATTTTGTGCTACTATTTGGTTCTACTGTGTTGAAAATGGATGCAGCCTTGTTGTGAGAAACTTCTGTTGCATCAGATTTGGTAGAGTTGCAATAAGCAGCAGAAGCAAGACAAGCAGTTTGCTGATGTGGTCCATTAGTCATTATAAAAAAATTGTTGTTTTTAACCCACATTCTTTATTAAAGACATGTAGCAGTTCATCGATATGTTAGTGATGTTGTCAGCAACCTGGGTGTGTATACTGTTGGGTGAACTCTAACAAGCATCGATACCTTGAGGACAAGTAAAAATCAGCTCATTGTTTTAGCTCTGAAGTTCAGATTGTGTAAAAGGCTTCAGTAATATTTCACCGCTCATCAAAGAAGCTTCCTCAGTTCTCTGATATGTCTTGGTGAGGGATGACTCAAGGTGTTCATGGTGGTTAAACTGTCGGAGGAGGGATCTTAAATGTAAAACCCTTTTTTATGTCGGATAGCTGCAGGGCTGTTGGATTGTCAAGACGGAGGTCCAGATACAAGGAGGGCTTGATGCGTGAAGGGTCATTTGTTATTAATATTTATTGTTTATAGTTGTTATGGTCCGAATAACACTTTCTGGGCTCAATTAATGACGACTATCCGAATATTTAGCGCGGTCGGGGGAACACTTCCACCCCGAGGGAGCGCTCTGATGAGGTGGAAGTGGTCGGAACGCACAGGCAGTACTTGGCTGCTGATGTAAGTTAGCGGTCACACTTCTGTTTCCACCATCGGTGGCGGCAGTGGGGGAGTGGCAGATACGCTCCACTGTTACCATCTGTGTTTACTTCCGTAAACACTGAGCAGCTCACTGCGTGTGACGTCGTCGTGTCCTCTTCTGCACATGCGGGACACTTTTGGGTCGTATGAAGTTCACACAGCAGATCACATGAAATGAAAAATACTTTATTTATCCCAGAAGGGAAATTCAATAACATGCAAGTCGCATTTAATTGGAAATGTGAACGAACTCGCAAAAAAAAATCGGATTTCACAAAAAAATCTGAATTGAGCATTAAGTCCCACAGTCTGAACGTAGCCAATCTGTGGGATTGTTCAGTCAGATAATACACCGTTATCCTTATTTATGATATAAAATGTCATGTCAGAGTCAGAATCCAAGGCTGTCGCTATGTTAAGGCTGTTTTTCATGGGTTCCGTTCGTTTTTCCTGAAAACCTGTCGGATAGCAAGGTGTTTGGATTGTTAAGGGTCAGATTATCCGGTCATGACTGTACCTGATAAGTGGTGTAGATGAACTTCCTGTTTTAGAGACAGGTGCTCCAGTTTAACACACATAGACATCACTGCCCCTTATATTTTAGATGTAGGTTGAGAATACGTACCTAGAACTCCCTGCCAGTAAGTTAGAACGAAGGAAACCTCTTGGATGAAAGGTGAAATCTTTTCTAGAACCCCAAAAGAGAAGTCTAGCTGCCTTTTACCAAAGGACAGAGGATGATAGAGCTTCCAGTTTCAAAAGTTGGTTCATGTTAAAAACACAGCTTAAGTAGCACAATATTAAATGTAGGTGTTGAATATAGAGTATTCACTGTATCCATTCATTCTCTACCATTTATTAATAATACTTAATATTATACTACTAATTATTGTGAAGTTGTTAGAAATAACCTCATTACTGATTAAAAAACAATTCATTTTTAATAGTTGAGTAAGCAGCTGTAAACCCACCACATTGTCTCGAGCTTTTTTAAAGGTATATGACCGTCTGTACAGAACGACCACATCGACCTCTGACCTCCTCCTCCTCCTCTGACCTCCTCCTCCTCCTCTTACCTCCTCCCTCCGCTCACACTGGCTCATCAGACCCTCCAGTTTGTTGGTGAGGTGGGTGTTCTCGCGACACAGCTTGTCGTTTCGGGTGCTGTGCTGCTCGATCTGAGTCTGGATCTCCGTCAGCATGTTCTGGAAGTGGTTGGTGATCTCTGTCCTCTTCTCCTCGTCCTCCCTGCAGCGCTGAAGAGTCTCCTCCTGGAAGATGGAGGAGGCAACGGAAAACGTTAGAAGATGGTAACAGAACATTTGTTGGATTTTTCTTCCACCTTTTAGAATCATGTGGAGCATTTTCTTCCTCCAATATATACATTACCTTAATACAGTAAAAGTATACTTAAATACTCTATTAATAAATAGGCTTTAGTGTACTGTCAAAAAAATCTGTTTACATGATGAATATTTTGAGACTTATCCCTTCCCAGAATAGTCATTAGTCGCTGTACACTGCTGTGACCAGACACCCAGCCCTCCTCACATACCCTCATCACGCTGTAGTGCGACTGCAGCTCTCTGCACAGAGTCTCCAGTTTGCTGCGAGCTGCTGCGCTGCTGCGTCGCTCGGCCTGCAGCTGCTGCCGCTCCTCCAGCAGGACGGACAGCTTCTGCTGCAGGACGCTCGACTTCTGCTCATCACAGCGACGCAGAGCTGCCTGTAGACACACAGGTAGAGGGTGGAAGCTAGTTACTGATCTGGATGTATGTTTCTACGCTAAAGAAAAGAAAATATCTAGAAAGAAAACACTGGATGAAACACTGTTAATGTCTCTCCTGTTACATGTCTTTCTGTAAGGCTGGGGGAGACTTTCTCACCATTTCCGCGTACTTCCTGACCAGATCGTCCAGTTTCTGCTGCGGGGAAGCGAGATTGTTCAGACTCTGCATGATGAGAGAGACCTCTGTGGAGGAGAAGAAAGTCTTTTACTGACCTGTTCAGTCAATTTTATGTTGTAACAAAAAGGATTTCACTTGGTTTCTCTACGATATTTGGTATCAACCACATCTTTTATTCCACCCACTGTGTTTTATTACTTTTTTTTAAGACCAGAAAACTTCAAATCAAAACTCTGAAATGGCCGATAGATGCACAAATGATCAAAAACACTCTATATGATCAGTTCAAGAGCCCGACAAACCACAACCTCTGAAATGAGCAGAATCAGAAAGAGCTTCAACAAAATCTAAACATTTTCTGAATCGACAATTTACCGCAGGACTGTTAGATTAAATTGCAGGTTATATCAATATGGAAAATAGGGTCAAATGTTTGTGGAGCTGACGCATAAATATCATCAAATCAATCAAATCTGTCAATTATGACCAAGTCTGACTTCCTGAAGTCAAAGGTCAGGAGCTCCAGACCCCAATAAGCCCCACGAGCCACATGTTTGTCCACTCTACTGGTGAATTTTAGCTCATATTGTTGTCATTCAGAGCGTATTCCACTGCTAAGCTGTGTTCAGTCAAATTACCACAGACTTTGCCCTAATGGGAACCTGGTGGAGGTGATGGGAGGTCAGTATGGTTCCCAGTAAATGACTCATCCATCCATGTTTGTAACAACATTCTGCCGACAGCATGACTCTCGTAGCACCTTGTTGCCTCACCTGTGTCCATGGAAACTGTGACATCACCTTTCGCCTCCACCTTCATCTTCTCCATCTCTGCCTCCACCAAACTCTGCTACATCCAAAACAACACAGAGCTTTTATTCAAATGTACACAGGTGGACAACAACCAGGAAGTAACCTGCAGGTTGTGCAAAACTCGAGCGTCCTCATTGGAGGACCCACCTGTTTGTCCGGGACGCCGACCGCTGAGCCGTACGTGCTGATGATGTCCTCCAGCCGTCGACCGAACTCCTCCAAGGGGTCGAAGGAGGAGGCGCTAGCTCTTGCTGCTGATGCCTCACCCTCAGAGCTCTCAGGGTCCAGGGAGGAGGACGCCTTGTCCGGCTGGGGGGGCAACAACACCTCAGCTGCTTTCTCCATCCTCAGTGGTCGGACACTGACGGGAAAAAATATGTAGCGTCATTCCTCCGTAGGTGCAGACTGAGTTTAACCGTGGGCGTGAATTTTACAGACAAATTAGCACAATTAGCAAGACAAAGCAAAGCTGTTCAAGCTGCTCAGAAGTAAATATAGTTTGATTGCAAAACTCAGTATTAATTGTAGTTTTCTCATTAAAAGATTGTTCCTATCAGGTGGCTGTTTGAAGTTCCAGTATGTTGGTTGATTATTCAGATCTAAGTCTGACCAAACAGATCTGCTTTGCAATCTCAGGGTTTGTTTTTTTTTAATTAATGCAAAAAAATAGAAAATGTACAAGACATTCAGCTAAATAGCAAACATGTATCTGACAAGATATTAGTCTTTTCATTAAGTTTGTTGGTCAAATCCTGTTAAAACTAGTTTGTATTCAATGTACAGGCTGTAGTCATTGAACAACTGCAAACGGTTTGATCTCCTTCAGTAAAATGAAACATGCTGTCAACATCTATATTAAATAAATAAACTAATGCTGTGTTACCCTAATATCAGAATATCTGTCAGCGTTTTGAGATTCAGCTCTGTGGGATGATGAGACGGATCACAGCGGTATGGCAGCGCGTCTGTCATGGATGAAATCTTAAACTCGTGTGGTGTTTCGTTTTATGGAGGCAGCTTCTGTGGGTCAGCGTAAGTTCACTAATGTTCAACCATGACATCTTGTGATTCATCAGCTTCTGTGAGACAAAGTTAGTTTGTGCTCAGGAAGCTACAAGTTGCAGTGATCCGTGAAAGTACAAGACAGGAGGCAGGAACATGAAGCAAAACAGGCTCCGACAAATAGCGAGGTTGGATCACCAACCAGCCAAGACGTGAGTTAATTAACTACAAAACTCAATATCAGCTCCATCTTGTAGCATGTTGTTGTGGAGGGACCTTGTAAAAATCCAGTTCTAACTTATTCTACCGTGCTACTTTGTTGAAAAGTCATGTTTGGTTGGATTGTTTCCTTTGTTTTTTGCTGTTTGACAAGAAACTAACAGTCAGGAAACTTCCATTGTTTACCTTAAAAAGTCAGCGTTCAGTATGGAGGAGTGAGAGTGCCAAATTACAAAAATAAATCAATAAAATAAAAATAAAAATTTTAAAAAATAAATAGATATATAACAGAATTAAAAAACAACTTTAAAAATAATTCAAAAATAATAAAAAAATTATTTTTTTTATAATTTTGTTTTTATATTTCTACTTTTATTAGCCTTTTCTTTTATGAATTCATTTTTGATTAATATTGCTTTATATTGCCACATTATTTATTTATTTTTTATTTCATTTATTCTTCTTTTTATTTTCTTATTCTTTTATTAATTTATTTTTGCACTTTGGCACTCTCACTGCTCCATAGTTCAGGACACGAAATGGCAGAAAATAGTAAAGTATGAGATATGTTATTTTCAGTATAAAATGAATTGGTTTAAGTATGATAGTTGTGCTGTTTGTTAGAGCAGAAGTGAAAAACAAAGGTGTTAAGGTCATGCCCACTTGTACAGCAGTTCTGGAGCGCTGGTTGGTTTCAGGGAGCTGGTGGAAATAATGGAAAGCATTTGGGTGACCACCAACCTGACAGATGCTCATACGTCAAGCCCATAGCACCTCCTTTATGTGTGTGTGTGTGTGTGTGTGTGTGTGTGTATTTAGCGGCTGTTTATCCTCACAGCTATGTCGCAACATCCCGGCTGCCACCGTTATTGTATCTGTGGGGTTAAATTTAGCCGTGTGAGCCGCCTGCCCTCCACCTGTTGTAGTGGCTTCTATTCTGAGAGCATCCAAATATGGTCGCGCTGCCCGTTACATACTGTACATGCATTAACACAGGAACGTGAGTTTGCGTCCAGCTAATTAACCCTTTTACCTGCTTCCTACCATCCACGTGATCAGCCCCACCTCCCTATAAAACTAAATGAAGCTCCACCTTCTGTGTTATGAACCAGTCCCAGCTCCTCCCCCTGAAGCCAGGCTGTTGACCACAACACAAATAAACAGCTCACCAGATTATTTTTTACCTGATAAATATACACACACTCACACGTGGTCAAAACCTGAAGCCTAACCAGCAGGTGGTGGACGAAATAATGGAAACACCACATCAATATAATCCAGTTTTAAGTACTAGCCTTATATAGCTAAACTAAGTAATGTGTTAGGTTATTTTAATTGCCTATTAAGGTGCGTTTGCTTTTATTATTTTGCATATTGAATAGTTTAGGTGTCTGTTGTCTTCTTATTTTACATTTATCTTACTATCTTAATCTTGTCTTCTTTTGGCCTTCCTGTCTGACTCACTGTTCCTGTTGTTATTTTACTATCTGTGTTTCCTGCTTTGTCTGTCAAAGCACTCTGTAAAGCCTTATTTTAAAAGAGCTATGCAAATAAAGTCATGTATATTATTATTGTTTATATTAAAATAATGAGTCCAAATGTTAGGTTAAGGCCAGTTTATGTCACTGCTGTCAGATAAGCTTAATAATAATTTAAATAAACTTTCTCATCTACTGAGAGGCGTAAGGTTTCTGCACGATATTCTGTCAAATCCTGTTTTTACTGGAATCCTTTACATCCGGTTTAATTCTCTCTATTTCAAATTGCTACCATGCCCCCAAATTAAAAACATTACCTTGTAGAGGACAAAAAGAAAAACTAATGATTGTCAAAATAAGCAAAAAATACCAGAAATAACCAAACAGGTAACTGAGACAAACTCGTCAACAACAAACATTCGTCATAAAACCTGAAAATTCGAGTTTTACAGGAATATCGACTCAACTAATATCATATTGATGGAGACCAGAAAGTCTTAAACTCACTAAACGAAGCAGGTGAACTTCTACAAACACCTAAAAACCTTTTACAGACATCACATAATATTTACCTCACACTGTTTTATCAAAATTCTGACAACATAGTGTTTAAATCCAAGTGTTTTGCTGTCCTGTGTGATTAAATTACAGCGAGTCTGAAGCACAGACTCTCTCCAGACAAACACTCCAACAGTGACAAAGCAACTCATCGTGCCACGTCGGCCATTATAGAAGCTCCTCGTGTCGTTTTACTGTGTTGTACATTAAATTAACATTATGTAGTAAACAGTAACACCACAATAAAATTAAATTATCTGGAAAAAAAAGACAACTAAGTGGCTCTTTTAAGGCCTGAAGCTGGAAAAGTGTTTTTCCATTTTTTCCCCAAGCTAATGGAGAAATAATCAGACAGTCTGTGATGGTAAAAAGTGAATAAAACACACATTTCTGAAGAAGTTGGGAATGAAAATGAGACCTACCAGGATCAGTGGAGTGAAGGCGAGGAGGTGAAGAAGAGACAGCAACAGGCAGAGAAAGCAGAGGAGGAGGAGGAGGAGGAGGAGGAGGAGGAGGGTCCTGCTGACGGGACAAATGACAGCTGACCCCCAAAATAACCTGAGAGGCTCAAGTCAGGGCCGCATGAACACAGTGTTGTGGCCGTGAATAAAGGCTCGCTGCTGGACGGGGGATTCCTGAGTGTCATTGGAGAATTTTAAAAGAAAAGTTCATCGGTCACTTCTAGCTATAAATTAATCAGTGGTGATTTCTGGCCACATAAAGGTTTTTAGTCTCCACATGTTAGAAATCACCTGAACCATAAAGCTGGGATACACTGTGACTCTGCAAATTCAAATGTAGTGGCATCATAAAGGTGACGACATAGTTCTGGATGGTCAGCACAGGCTGCCCTGAACAGTGCAGATATCAGCGGTACGATGAAGAGGATGTTGCTGATGGATACAACACTCATCAGGATGATTTTGAGTTAAATTTTTTGCCTTTTTACTGCAGAACAAAAACTTCATGTATACTTCATGTCTGGCAAAAAATGGACGAGATTTGTGATACTATTTAGTGAGAGTTTGATGAGATTTATGAATCTGCTGTGCATGAAACTGATCAAGCATAGTGGCATATTAGCACAAGGTATCAGAAACTCTCGAGCAACATTTTAAATAACATCTATGGAACCAAGGCGGCACAGTGGATCGGGGGTTATCACCATCGCCTCACAGCTAGAAGATCCCCTAGTTTGCCTTAGTGCGCTTGGTTGTCTGTCTCTAAGTGTAGCCCTGTGATAGACTGGTGACCTGTCCAGGGCGTCCTGAGTCAGCTGGGATAGACTCCAGCCCCCCACGAGCCTAGTGAGGATTAAGCGGTGTATAGATAATGGATGGATGGATCTATGGAACCAGTTAGACCATGAAAAAAGGAGGCATGTCTGAGGAAACAGCAGCTAGGTACAGATTATGCCATCGCACTCTGTCAGTGATTATTCCTGAGGTGTGCTGAGCACGGTGGGTGGACACTGCACAGGATTTCTGAAGAAATTAAGACTTTCTACTGTGTTTGGGTACATCGATGGAAACGGAATGCATCAATCAAATGGTAGATTGTGACATTTAAGTCAGAGCTGCAGACACCCACGGATGAGTATTTGTGGCCGTTATACTACTTTCCTAGTTGGTGGGAGTCACTTAAAACCTCTGTTGATCTATGTCGTTCATTTATACACACTACTGCTAAACATATGCACTACTGTGTGGGAGCATCACCACCTGGATGGGCAGCTGCACCAAGCAGGACTTCTCGGCCCTCATGAGGGTGGTCGGTTCAGCTGAGTGGACCATCAGATCCACCCTCCCCAACCTGCAGGACATTTGCACACAGCGATGCAGGTCGAGGGCTGTGAAGATCCTGAAGCAGCTGAACCATCCTGGAAACTCCCTCCTCTCCCTATCGCTGCCTAAGGACTGTCACTGAGAGGGTGAGGAAGAGTTTCTTCCCTCAGGCCATCCGTTTGCTCAACTCCGAGCTTTAAACTGGACTGTAACACACACACTGGCACCTTTAAATATTTTTTGCACCTTGTATAGTACATGTTCCATTTTCTTAATTTGATTAGATTTTATTTTATTTCATTTATCTATGTATACATATTTCTTGAACACTTATTTAGTTTTTTATTGCAACTGGATACAGGCACAAAACACATTTCACTACGCATTGTGCTGTGTATAACTGTGTATGTGACAAAGTTTATCTTATCTTATCGTACTGCCCTTGTTTGACCTGCCTTCTGACATCCAAGACGGACTGTGTGTCTCATCAAGTGAACTCTTGCATACTTGTGGATGCTAAAGCATCATACAGTCTAACGGTGGCAGACATGATTCTGCTGCTGAGTCTCTTGTCAGCCATGTTTGGTTATTAGTGATGCTTCAGATTGCTCCTGCTGGGGTAAATGATCCTCCAATTCAGGCAGCTTTTTAATGTTTGCGTGGTGGCAGCTTGACTGAATCAGAGGGGAAGCCTGTTGAATCCTGATAGTCCTATTTGTGTTTTATAGCATTTTGCTCGCTTGTTGCTCGGCGCTGCAGTTAAAGTGACTGTTTTTTTTTCTGTGGTAATGATTCAGACTTTTTCAAGTACGTTTGTGATGCAGCGTCCTGTCATACTGGGTAATAGTGTTACATCCTTGATGGTTTCAGTCGCCGTATATTCTCTGCAATCAGTGCGTTGTAACTCTCATAGGTGCTGAGTCACAACTTAAATCACTTTATTCCTCTCCATAAAGGCTGCTGTCGATGTGAATAAGGGGTGGTTACGTAGAACAACAACAGCCTGTAGCCCTGGTGTCATGAGGTAATTGATGACGGATGGGACTGAAAGCCTCAATTTCCAGCGCCGGGCTTTGCTGAAAAGGCTTGAAACTGTTGAAATGTTTTGAGCTGAAAGTGAAACAGCTAAAGTTCAAGCACAGTTTTTTTGTGCTAGCATTGGAGCAACCCCCATTAAGGGCTCGTCCGGGAATTGAACCCGGGACCTCTCGCACCCGAAGCGAGAATCATACCCCTAGACCAACGAGCCACATGCTACACAAGCATGGGGAGTAAGATCAACGGGCAACGCAGTACAGATACAGACATGAATGTAAGAATGGACAAGACGTGGATCGTCTGTCTGCAGCTCAAAAACATTTGAAGAACAACTGCTTAAGAAAAACCCTCAAAATACACTGACTGGATAAGATCAGAAACAAGGAACGATGGTTTAAAACACAGCAAGTACCAGTAGAAGAAAAACTGGAGGAAGGAGAGGCGCTGGATTGGACAATAAGGGACAAGAGAAGAGGCCAAAGAACACCGAACTTGACGGAAAAGCTCAAGACATCGTTGTCTGAAGTTCCACTGTCAACGGCCTTTACCTCAGGAGACGTGCCAAGACATTGAAGTGTTTTTAAAAAAAAATGTCAGACATGTGATCATCCTGCCATGAGGTGGAAACTGCAAAGAAGATTTTTATCTCCTCTTTTCTAATTAATAATAATAACAAAAAAGCTTAAACCTAAAAGCTTGTTGGTCTAAATGGTCCCATCCTCCTCCTCTGCTTTACTTTCAAATCTCTCTTTATTCATCCCCTCTTCTGTGTCCTCTCTGCCCTTTACTTCTTTGTGTTTCCGCAAGAACAGACAGAAACAGCGTCACATAAATTACAAGTGTCTTACTTTTTTTGTATTTTCCTCATCCCCTGCTTTTTCTGTGTGATGTACATACAAAGTGTGCATCTCTGGCTCGGCTCGTGTTCAGCAAGACCAGGTAGATGGTTGGGATGCAGGTTCTGCCAGGCCTCTAATTTATGCCACCATTAATATGTGTGAAGTGACATCTGCATCGAGAAGCATTAGTGAATCCTCCTTCCAGTAATGAGTCCTGTCAGCTGCAATCAGAAGGCCAGAAAACAGCAACAAGTTCAAGTCTGACTCAAGAGCTGCGATCTGAAGCAGTGGAACGAAAGCAAACATCAAACATCCAGCCGGCTGCATCTAATCTGCGCACAACCTCGTATTATGTAAAGTAGGACATGTTCAGCCTGAGAATGTTTCATGCAAACATTTTTTTATTCAGTTCAAGGTGCTGTTCACGACAAGACATAATAAAACACAAAGGTGATGCTGAAGCACACACAGACTCCTCCCCGTACACTTCATGTAAAGATCACCTGTTGGTTTTCATCGGTGCTGAACTGAAACACAGAGGATGGTGGAGGCGACCTTTTCCAGTTGGAGTCCAGACGTTCCATGTATAGAAACATGGCAGATCAGGGGGAGTAAAACTAAAACCTGAGTGGAGCTCACAGCCAACAGGTACAGCATTACTGGTATGGCCATATTCTACTCACTGACTAAAGTCGATATCAGAGTCTCCTGAAGGTTTGTTTGTACAATTAAGTGACAAACAAGCATGTCAATCAAGTCAGTCCTGCCCCCAGATGTACCTCTGTGAGGCCTGATATCTGCTTAACAATGGAAAGACATTCAAAATGGCCACGAGAACACTGATTAGAAGGACTGGACGTATACATCCAACCCTTCAAATCAGTGTTAGCTACAGCTAATGACTGTTGGAAACAATGCATCAGCTCAGTACTTCACAAGACAAGTTGATGTTTTTTGAATGTGACTAATGAAGCCAGAGTTTTTAGAGACGACTCCTTGAGGCCACCAGTGATATCACACTTTAAGCTACATTCTCCTGAACTGACAAAATAATTGAACACACTGAAGTAAGGCTGTAGAGTCCAGGTTGACTGGTTGATTGGTTTACCTGTATGCTACCTGTGAACACCCCCATGTTTTCACTCCTGTAAACTCACCCAGCCCACTAGGTCAAACTTATTTAACCTTTACTAGACAATTACTGAGAGTTGTTCAAACATTTACCTCAACAGTTTTGTGCGGGGAATGAATATACCCAGGATCAAATGATAAAACAGCCATCCATCCATCATCTACACACCGCTCAACCTCACCAGGGTCATGGGGGGCTGGAGTCTATCCCAGCTGACTCAGGGTGAAGGCAGGGGACACCCTGGACAGGTCACCAGTCTATCACAGGACTACACTTAGAGACAGACAACCAAGCACACTCACATTCACACCTATGGATAATTGTGTTATGTTTTTGGTCTTGTGGAAGGAAGCCACAGAACCCACGCTGCACAGGGAGAACATGCAAACCCCACCGGGACGTGAACCAGCAACCTTCTTGCTGCGAGGCAACAGTGCTACCAACTGAGCCACCTTGACACCAGCCCCATGACAAAATATCATACTAGCTTTTTATGTTCTTGGATAATTCATTCAGGCTGATAAAGCTAACAGGTAGAATGCACTTTTGGCTCATCTGTTGATAAAACATGCAGATTTTTTTCCTCCTGTGACCAATCAATTGGTTAAAGAGTTGTTATAGTTTCATTTAAGTTTCTTCTGAAGGCTGAACAATAAAGTGAATCTTGTTACTGAGATGTAATTGATCAGAATATAGGCATTATTCACAGTAA